CCTAAAAGAGGGCAAAAAAACAAACATTTTTTTAGTTTCATGACAATAACTTGTGTGTAAGTGTATGGATCTTTCTGAAATTGTACTACAAGGTTCCATATCACAAAGGGAAAGCTGGAATTGAGTTTGGGGGTAATTGCTCAAAACGTTTAGGAATAAGGGGCCAAAAAGGGGCCAAAAGTAAGCATTTTTCTAATTTCAATACAATAACTTGTGTTCAAGTGTATGGATTTTTCTGAAATTGTACTGCAAGGTACCATACAACAAAGGGAAGGCTGGGATTGATTTTGGGGGTAATTGCCTCAAATTTTAGGAATTAGGGGGTCAAAAAGGGGCAAAATACAAGCATTTTTCTAGTTTCGGGACAATAACTTAAGTGTAAGTATATGGATCTTTATGAAATTGTACTACAAGGTTCCATATCACAAAGGGAAAGCTGGGTTAGAGTTTGGGGGTAATTGCCCTAAATGTTTAGGAATTTGGGGCCAAAAAACAAGCATTTTTCATGTTTCCAGACAATAACTTGTGTTCAAGTGTATGGATCTCTCTCTGAAATTGTACTGCAAGGTACCATACCACAAAGGGAAGGCTGGGATTGAGTTTGGAGATGATGAATCATAAGGGGGGTTTAAAAAATTTTGGGTGGGGGATTTTTTTTTCCTTTTTTTCCTGACCTTTTTTTTTTTTTTTTAATTTTCCATTTTAAGTTGGTTATTTCTGATTTATATATAAAAGCAAATAGTAATGATATGGTTTGAATAGGTAAATTAAAAATTTTAAGTTCTTAGACCACATTCATTCTGTGTCAGAAACCTATGCTGTGTCAAATATTTAATCACAATCCAAATTCAGAGCTGTATCAAGCTTGAATGTTGTGTCCATACTTGCCCCAACTGTTCAGGGTTCGACCTCTGCGGTCGTATCAAGCTGCGCCCAGCGGAGCATTTTATTATTAAATTTTACTGTTTTTTTTAATTTTTTTTAATATTTTATTAGATAGAGAGGAAGTATAAATGGCAATAAATGTTCAGCTAAGTAAGATCTACAAATAAGTCAACATGATCAAAATAGTGAATTGACCCCTTAAGGAGTTATTGCCCTTAAAATGTTTTTTTTTTTACATTTTTTGTGAAAGTCTAAATATTTTTGCAAAAATCTTCTTCTCTGAAACTACTTGGCCAAATACTTAAAAACTTTAATTGAATGTTCCTTAGGGTATCTAGTTTATAGATTGTATTCTGCGATATGATCTATTCAAAAACATGGTGGCAGTTTGGCTTTCATCTCAAAAACTAAAGCAGTAAGAGCAAAACTGACATAGGTGAAAGTGTTAAACATATGAGTGATATCAGGCTCTCATGAGCCTCTTGTTTATTTGAGTGTATTCTACAATATGGAAATCAGAATAAAGTAGTATCTTTATTAAGGGTTTTATATATTAAGCATCACGTCAAAGAGGGAATTCCGCTGTTTTGTTGAAATGCGAGAGTGGTTTCGAATAAAACTATCAGATAAATAATAAAGTGGTGTTGTTCCTATTATGTTATCTTTATGAAACTTTGATATTAAACTTCCTTAAAGAAATGGAGATTTTGTTGACCCTTCAGCGCAGTCATCTGATAACGCTTTGTTATAGTTCCAGCTAAACTTTCTGATTGGTCGACACTCTTAGCTCGTGGATATGGATTAATAAGCTGTTGCTAAGGACCTTAGAAAATGGAGAACCCAATCAAGGACGTATAACTAACATATTATATACATCTTTGCCACAATTGACCTCAACCAAAAAAAATTCTAACGGTTTGTTTATGTGATTAAGCGCATGCATAGTTTTCTTTGATCTCTAGGGGTATGAGACTACCGTAAATGGTTGCTCTGGATTCCATACTCCATTGATTGATTTGCAACTCAAGTTAAATCATGTACAACATTTAAATGGAAAAAATGTAGTCAAAACTGTAACGGTAGAAGTAAAACACCCCTTAAGCCAAAATGGAGTCTTCCATATTATCAATTAACGCTAAGAAACTTCATGCCACTTGTTGCTCATTGTTGAACAAATGTTTTTAAAAAGTCAAATTCATTTAGAATATGTTTTAATATTTAAGTAATCATCAGATTTGTTTATTTATCGTTTAATTAAGTTTTTTTGAATGAGATGCATTTTCTCATTTTCATCTCATCGAAGGGCGATCATTTCTATAGAAAAACATAAATAATTTATTTATCGCTATTATGTGTATTTTCGAATATTATTTAATACAAATTACCGCAAAAAAAAGCCCTGTTCATTGATAATTTTTTATTTTTTCTATGTATTGTGTGCAATTTGTCCCATGTACATTTACTCCATATACTTTTATTTTCTACTAATACGATAAGAATGCATTTTCTTTTTTGGTACTATTTGTTTCGCACAGGCTTATTTGATATATACAACACATCGACTTTCATTCATTTGAAAAATGGCGTTTGAACTGATCAGCCTGCGTGTTCAAAGATTGCGAACACCATTTTCACCGTTTTGAAAGCTCTATTTTGATGTTACAATACATGTAGACAGACAGACAATCATTTGTAGCAAATTTTTGTAAAAATTTACATTTTTTTTATATGTAAGAAACATGATTTAATTACTTTTATCAACTTCAAGTTAATTTAGGGAGCTACCATTTGATTTTTATGGGGGGGCTAGGATGAAAAATTTTGTCCTGCCTATTTATTTTTCCCTCTTTTCGGTCCTGCCGTTTTTTTTTTAGTTTAACCTGACTTTTTTTTTTACATATTGTCATCCTGCCTTTTTTTTTTGCAAATAATCTCATCCTGCCATTTTTTTTACTCAAAACTCCTGTCCTGCCTATTTTTTTCAAATTTCATCCTAGCCCCCCATAAAAATCAAATGGTAGCTCCCTTATAAGTGAAATTCACGGTAAAATTGAAACGAGAAAAATACTTTTTTTGTTGACCCTTCAGCGCAGTCATCCGATAACGCTTTGTTATAGTTCCGGCTAAACTTTCTGATTGGTCGACACTCTTAGCGCGTGGATATGGATTAATACGCTGTTGCTAAGGACCTTAGAAACTAGCAATGATTTTCATTCTCAAGTGAGTCGAGTGAGAATGAAAATTATCACGTAAAAAGATCAAAAGAAAAATACTGATAATAGCGATTACTACTATCATTTCTGTTTTGTTAAAAATCTGAGTAGATCAATGATGAACTCAGCCATTGATAGATTACCTGTGGATAGACTATTCCATTTAAGACAGGGGTATACTTTTGGATAGACTATTCCATTTAAGTCGGGGGGTAAAATTTGTTAAAACATCATGGAATAGAACAAAAGACAGTGTCCAAAGCAAAATTTAGAAGGAAAAAAAATGTATAATTTGTCCGTGTAATTGGACTTGGTTGTTTTTTTTTTGCTGTTAACTTTTTGTCTAAAATTAAAAGATTTTCAAATATCAATCATGTCAATATAACTTTTCCAAATTTCATTGAATTTTAATTTCCTACCTGGTTGGGTAAAATGCATCTATTCTTCATGATCAAAAGACAGTATATCCAGAGCAAAATTTTGAAATTATTTTTTTAATGGTATTAATTTTTTTTAGTATTTTACTGATAAATGTACTCAGTTGTTTGTTTGCAGTTTACATTTAGATAGTTTAAAGTTAAAGTAATTTAGACAGTGATATGAAGTTGAAGAACATAAAAATCAGAGTTCACTGTTAACCCATTAGAATTTTTGGTTAAATTGAATTGTGCCAATCGTTGTCTTAAAATTTCTTTTAAGTACCATATATATGTGTTTAAATGCATCAACGTAATACTATGTCGATGGTCAGTATCTTTGCAGGTTATTTATTTTTAAAACTTAATTGCTTGAAAAGGAAAAAAATACATATTTAAAAAAGACTCATCAACTTTCAAGAGCTGAGTGTATACCAACAGAAAAAAAGAGGTGCAAATTATTACACACATTCTAAAAGAAATTATACATGCAAAATTGCCGCAATAAATCACTCTCCCTTTCAAAATGTCTTTACATGCCCAATCCAGGTGAAAACATGGATAGTTTTTAAAAAGTTGGCAGCTATATGCCGTATATTCGTTTTAAGGTTATGGATTAGTTTTAATGACCACTGCCACATGTGTCTTGAAAGGACATATTCTTTCCGTCTGTGCCAAACAAGCATGACAAGTACAAAATTGTAACTCAAGTTACTGTTTTCCCGAAAGCTTTCATACATGGTAGAGTTTATAATCTTGACCACGAACGTCATTTAAAAATGTGCAGTTTTGGAAGACATCTAGGACTTTAAGATTTTTGGCCATATGAATCCTAAAGCCAAAGAAGGAACAGATTGACTTTTTGTATGCTTGTACAAATGTATATTTTTGACACTGAGTATGTGGGATTGATAACATTCAGAAGAAATATTTTTAAAATGAGCGGGTTTGAATTTCAAAGAATGAAGCAAATCCAGAGCAAAAATTAAAACATAATAATTACATAATTGTTCATGAAAAAATATATACACTTATATCAGAGATTGGCTTTTTTTTAGGTTGAAAAATTATATTCAGCTTGAATCAAATAAGTAATACATGTGCAGTTGAATTATTTTTGAGAAAAAACACTAATATCAATAGAAATAATGGCAATCATATTCCTCAGAGTGATCATGCTCTTCGATTTTTATAAATTTCTGATAAGACATTGAGGAGTTATGGAACTTTATTTGTTGAAAAAGTGATGGGCGTATCATGGGCTCATGGCGCAGCTCTTTATTAATTTTGGTCCCAGTTTTCAAGTTTAGTCCAAATCGGGATCCAAAATTAATCTTTGTTTGATTTCAATAAAACTTGAATGTATAGGGTTCTTTGATAATCTGTTTCTAACTGTGTATTTAGATTTTAAGATTACGATTTATTTAATCACAATCCAAATTGTTGTTTACTTGATGAAGACTCCCTGTTCTCTGTTAATTTCCAGGCTATCAGACGATTAGGTGGACAACCAATGAAACAAGAGTGTGATGACCTGAAGGTGAAGATACTGGACCAGACTAATCAGGAAATAATGCTGGACATTAAACGTTCTAATGATGAAATAATCGAACTGAACAAGTCTGTGGAGAGCTTGAACAAATCAGTGAAGAGCTTGAAGAAAGTCAATGAAGATATGAAAACAGAAGTGAACAAGTTAAAAACGTCTCAAGAAGATACAGTACCTTGGAATATTAGGGGTAAATATTGAATAGTCAACACTTGTGATATTTAAATAGAAGGTTATTTTTTTTCCCAAATTGGCTTGAAAATCAATTATATTTCAAGCTATGATGATCCTATCTCTGATTTTCTAAATGTGTAAATGTTGAATCTATATACAGTACGTAGTAAAAACACTCCAGACAGCTGTCATCTAATATGATATTGCAGTAGTAAATGTATTTTCCATTATCTTTTCACAGGAAAAAATTATAGCAGTTGATTCTTGTGCGCTACATTGTATGCTAATTTAGTCAGATTGTACTTAAAATTAGCTTATAATCGCCAAAAAAAAAAAGGAAAATAACTTGTATATGACGTCTCTTTTATTACGCCACAGTCAAAAAGGCAAATATTCACATGCTCTGAAAGCCTATTTTCCTTTGCTTAAAATCTGTTATTAGTAATGATATTGTACAATGTTTTATTTTCAGTGAATTTACACTTGTCTAAAAAAGCCCCACAATACACCATGTCCTTAACTGATGTTCATCTTGGGAATGCTTTACAAGAAAATGGACAAACTAAAAGACAATGTAAACAGAATAAAAACACTGTTAACAAGGAACTATTTTGTTCTGGAATAATTTTTAATTCTAGAAAAATTGATAACAAATGCTAGATGAAAACTAACCCAACTAAATAGGGTTCAGAAATTCGTGCATGCCTAAGGTTAATTTTACTTTCACTGATATTTCAGTATGAACTAAGTAACCCCCCTTAGCCATGCATGCATGGCTAACACTCCTAAATTGAGTTTGTTCTCATCATACATTTCTTATCAATTTTTCAGGATTCAGAATTTTTCCAGATTCAAATAATTTTTTGTTAATTTTTATAGACAAAAAACCTGTTTACATGTACCCCATCAGTCTAATGAAACATGTTAGGAAGGGAAACATTGAAAATGTCATCTATGAATAATATGGATTAGTTCGGCAAAAGAAACCTTAATCAAAAAGTAATTTAAATTGAAGAATAAAAAAAAAACAGATAAAAACTTCTAAAAGTCTTACAGATATTTTTCATATCCTAATTATACCTTAGGAAGACTGATATCCTAATACCTTAGGAAGACTGATATCCTAATACCTTAGAAAGACTGAGTTTACTTTCTAAAGTCAGTTCCATTCTTTGAACACAGTTTAATTCAATCTCATTAGATAGTTATAATATATCGTTGTCCCCTGTATATCAATATGAAAATAAGGATATGATTGTTAATGAATCAGAAATCCACCAAGATCTTAAGGACAAGGATGTGTGCAACTACAGGTCAATGTAAAGTCTTCAGTAAGGAGTTAATCCCATACCCTATAGTCTTCAACAAGGAGTTAATCTCATACCATATAGCCTTCAACAAGATGTGAATCCCATACCCTATGTTCTTCAACAAAGTGGTAAATCCCATACCATATGTTCTTCAACGAGGAGTAAATCCCATACTGTATAGTCTTCAACAAGAAGTAAATCCCATACCCTATAGTCTTTGACAAAAATAACCTATAGTCTTCAAAAAGGAGTAAATCCCATCCCGTAAGTCTTCAACAGGAATAAATCCCATATAGTATAGTCTTCAACATGGAGTAAATACCAGACCCTACAGGCTTGAACAAGGAGTAAATCCTATACCCTATAGTCTTCAACAAGAAGTAATTACAATACGCTATAGTCGTCAACGAGGATTAAATCCCATACCGTAAGTCTTCAACAAAGATTAAATCCGTACCATATACATGATATAGTCTTCAACAAGGAGTAAATCCCATACCCTTTAGTCTTCAACAAGGAGTAAATCCCATACCGTATAGTCTACAACGACGAGTAAATCCCATACTGTAAGTATTCAACAAAGATTAAATCCCATACCGACGAGTCTTCAACAAGGAGTAAATCCCATACTCTATAGTCTTCAACAGGAGTAAATCCCATATTGTATTGTCTTCAACAAGGAATAATTACCATATCCTATAGTCTTTGACAAGGAGTAAATCCCATACCCTATAGTCTTCAGCAGGAGTAAATCCCATACCCTATAGTCTTCAGCAGGAGTAAATCCCATACCTTATAGTCTTCAACATTAGTAAATCCCATACTGTAAAGTGTACAAGGAGTAAATCCTATACCCTACGGCCTTCAACAAGGAGTAAATCCCATATCCTATAGTCTTCAACAAGGAGTAAATACCATACCCTATAGTCTTCAACAAGAAGTAAATCCTATATCCTATGGTCTTCAACTAGGAGTAAATCCCATATCCTATAGTCTTCAACAAGGAGTAAATACCATATCCTATAGTCTTTGACAAGGAGTAAATCCCATACCCTATTGTCTTCAACAAGGAGTAAATCCCATACCCTATAGTCTTCAACATGGAGTAAATCCCATACCGATGAGTCTTCAACAAGGCTTTAATCCCATACTGTATAGTCTTCAATAAGGAGTAAATCCCATACCATATGGTCTTCAATGAGGAATAAATCCCATACTGTATAGTCTTCAACAAGGAGTAAATCCCATATCATATAGTCTTCAACAAGGAGTAAATCTTTTACAGTTTAGTCTTCAACCAGGAGTAAATCCCATATCCTATAGTCTTCAACAAGGAATAACTCCATACTGTAAGTCTTCAGCAAGAAGTAAAAGCACAATGTGAAACAATTTAAAAGAAGAAAAAAAAAAAGCAATCGTTAACAGCCTGATTTTTACTAAAATTAAAAATTTACAACAATTAAAGTAGACAGCTACAAATGACAACCACTGGACTATCATCTCCTGGCTTGTGACATGGACATACATAATGTTGCAGGGTTGAACATATTCAAAAGCTACCCCCCAACCCCCCCACATAAGTTCATGATATGGTCAAGTTTATGGGAAACCACCAGTGCTTGGTCAATGATATTTGGTATGCAGTTGTATTAGCTTTGGCACATCTCATTTCAATGGAGAATATTTTACCCCACCCCTTCAGTCATGGTGTACAGACTTTGAAACTTTTGAGTAGTTTACATGAATTAGTTTGTGATTAGGTCAGTTTTAAGGGAAACAATTAGTGGTAGGTCAATGATATTTGGTATGCAGTGTATAAGAATTGGCACATCTCATTTCTGTGGAGATTATTTTGTCCTGCCTCCTCAGTCATGTTGTATTGACTTTGAACTTTTGCTTAGTTTACATGTAATAAGTTTGTGATTAGATCAGTCTAAGGGGAACTATAAGTGGTAGGTCAATAATATTTGGTATATAGAATATATATGCATTGGCACATCTGATTTCCATGGAGATTATTTTGCCCTGCTCCCTCAGTCATGGTCTATTGACATTGAAACTATTGCTTAGTTTAGATGTGTTAGATTGTGATTAGATCAGTTTAAGGGGAACTATTAGTGGCAGGTAAATGATATTTAGTATGCAGATGTATTAGCATTGGCAAATCTTATAAGTCCCCTACCAAGAAAGTCGAAGGGGACTCTGTCCATCTGTCTGTCTGTCCATCCGTCAGTCCAGCAAATCAGTTTTCCACACTTTTTTTTTCTTTGTGCTTGAAGTTATTGATTTGATATTTAGTATATTGTTTTATCATGACAAGTTACAGATCAAGTTCGAATTTTGTTCAGGTCAGATAATTTTGTGCAGAGTTATGGTCCTTGGACTTAGAAAATTCACTCAAATATTCAGTTTTCCACTTTTTTTTGTCATGCTTGAAGATATTGATTTAATAATTGGTACATTGTTTTATCATGACAAGTTACAGATCAAGTTTGAATTTTGTTTCGGTCTGATAATTTTGTGCAGAGTTATGGTCCTTGGACATAGAAAATTCACTCAAATAATCAGTTTTCCACATTTTTTTTCATCATGCTTGAAGATATTGATTTGATAATTAGTATATAGTTTTATGATGACAAGTTACAGACCAAGTTCAAATTTTGTTCTGGTCTGATGATTTTGTGCAGAGTAATGGTCCTTGGACTTAGAAAATTCACTTAAATTATCAGTTTTCCACACTTTTTATACGACCGCAAAAAAATTTTGTGCCCATTTTTTGGCCCCTAAGACACATTGGTTTTCGCACTCTAACTTTAGTTGAAGTGAATGGATCTCTATGAAATTTTACCATAAGGTTCAATACTACAAAAGGAAGGTTGGGATTGATTTTGGGGGTTATGGTACCAACAGTTAAGGAATAAGGGGCCAAAAAGGGGCCAAAAATAAGCATTTTTGTAACTTCCAGACATAACTTGTTTGTTAGTGTATGGATCTCTCTGATATTGTACCACAAGGTTCCATATCACAAAGGGAATGCTGGGATTGATTTTGGGGGTAATTGCCTCCAAAATTTTAGGAATTAGGGGCCAAAAAAGAGGCAAAAAACAAGCATTTTTCTAGTTTCATGACAAAAACTTGTGTGTAAGTGTATGGATCTTTCTGAAATTGTACTACAAGGTTCCATATCACAAAGGGAAAGCTGGAATTGAGTTTGGGGGTAATTGCCCAAAAGTTTAGGAATAAGGGGCCAAAAAGGGGCCAAAAATAAGCATTTTTCTAGTTTCAGGACAATAACTTGTGTGTAAGTGTATGGATCTGTATGAAATTGTACTACAAGGTTCCATATCACAAAGGGAAAGCTGGAGTTGAGTTTGGGGGTAATTGCCCAAAATGTTTAGGAAAAAGGGGCCAAAAATAAGCATTTTTCTAGATTCCAGACAATAACTTGTGTTCAAGTGTATGGATCTCTCTGAAATTGTACTGCAAGGTACCATACCACAAAGGGAAGGCTATGATTGATTTTGGGGGTAATTACCTCAAAATTTTAGGAATTTGGAGCCAAAAAGGGGCTAAAACAAGCATTTTTCTAGTTTCCAGACAATAACTTGTGTTCAAGTGTATGGATCTCTCTGAAATTGTACTGCAAGGTACCATACCACAAAGGGAAGGCTGGGATTGAGTTTGGGGTTGATGAATCATAAGGGGGTTCAAAAAATTTGGGGGATATATTTTGTTTCCTTTTTTCCTTTTTTTTTCTTTAAAATTTTCCATTTTAAATTGGTTATTTCTGATTAATATATAAAAGCAAATAATAATGATATGGTTTGAATAAGTAAATTTAAAATTTTTAAGTTCTTAGACCACATTCATTCTGTGTCAGAAACCTATGCTGTGTCAAATATTTAATCACAATCCAAATTCAGTGCTGTATCAAGCTTGATTGTTGTGTCCATACTTGCCCCAACTGTTCAGGGTTCGACCTCTGCGGTCGTATCAAGCTGCGCCGAGCGGAGCATTTTATTTCGTCATGCTTGAAGATATTGACTTGATATTTGTTTTATAGTGTACACCATGACAAGTTATAGATCAAGTTAGCATTTTGTTCCAGTACAATTAATTTTTAACCGGTAGGGGACTATGTGATTGCCATGCAATACTCTCAGAATGCTTGTTTCTATGGAGATTGTTTGGCCCTGCACTTTCAGTCATGGTTCATTGACTTTGAATGATTTGCATAGTTTACATGTTTAAATATTGCCATTTTAAATGTTCCAGTACAATTATTTTTTTTAACCGGTAGGGGACTATGTTGTTGCCATGCAATACTCTCAGAATGCTTGTTTCTATGGAGATTGTTTGGCCCTGCACCTTCAGTCATGGTTCATTGACTTTGAATGATTTGCATAGTTTACATGTTTAAATATTGCCATTTTAATTTCAACATTTTCGTTTCACCATCAAAGTTACAAAATGCGAAACATATCTCTGTGTCAATAGTTTTTAATACTGAAAGGTAGTTCAAATCCCAATTTCAATTAAAATATAAACCATGTTTTCACAGACAGAAATATACAAATGAACATCCCACGGATAAATGTGAAAACATCACAAGCAGTCTGAGCTAAACATTGCCTTGTCAAAATATAATTTATGACAGGATGTTGGGCCATAAGTGTTCATAACTGGATAGCAATATATGTTTAGTTATGTATTTAACCATTAGAACAAAACCAATTATGATATTGATAAAGAAGACATTCAAAGATTAAACTACAATACTTAATTGATAACCTTTAAGAATATGTTTTTTCAAAGGGAATATTAATTAATGTGTCGCAAATAATTTTGGAATGTGTGTCTGAAAGGTCAAGGTCATACACTTTATATATTATCATGAAAAACAAGGGGTGAGGCTGAATTATCACTTTATGAGCTGTATTTTGTATATAGAATCAGTAAAAAAGAGAGGGACTTTCAAACTCATAAGCATGATAAGTAGGATACAAACTCACAACACCATGGCAAAAAAACAAACAACAACAAACAGCATGAACCCCACAAAATTGGGGGTGATCTCGGGTGCTCTGGTAGGGTGAGCAGATCCTGTTTCACATGTGGCACCCCTCATGTTGCAAGGTTTACATGTATGTCACTCATGACCGTGACTGAATTTTGTAGTTAACTCACTTATTCATCCATTATTGAACCGACATAGTGAATAATATATAACCCCACCATTGCTGAAGGTACAATATCATGAACAGGAATTACATGATTCATTAGGGACAAATAGACATGATGAAAGACCTCTCTCAGTTTTTTAAATGCCTATCTTAATGGAAGAGGATGAATAGTTTTACTATCAAAGGTTGGTAGTTGTCTCTATAGGCACTCGGGTTTCCTCAACCAGAAAAGACTAGCCGCCAAAGTGAAGAGTGCTGGATGTGGCATTAACCATCAACAATCAATCAGTCTATGTTTTAGACACATCTTTTGGTGTTATAATTTTTTTTTAAATAATAGGTAAATTATGTCAAATTGATTCCTGGTATCAAAACTTCATTTCTTTTGAAAATTGGGGGAAAATTGTGTTGCATCATCTTTGTTTAGTTTTCATGTGAATTCCTCACTCATGATAAGTAATTGGATAAATATATATGGTATATGGTATATGGTATTTCTTGGAGGTCTTTATTTCTGAAAGACATGTTTCATCTGACCTCATTTCTTTGATCAGTTATCAAAGATACTATTAGGAGTATGTCAACTATATTTTGTTTGACCTATATTTTGTGTATGGAATGATTGTAATTTGTTAATGTCCATCTAGCAGGTTTCATCTGAACTTGACCTCATTTTTATGGTTCATTGATCAATGTTATGATTTTGAGTATTGATCTGGTTCTCAGGTACAATAAGCAAAAGGTCAATTATATGTGGTGTATGGAAGAATTGCAAGGTGCACATGTCTATCTGGCAGGTTTCATATGACCTTGACTTCATTTTCATGGTTCATCGGTCGATGTTATGTTTTTGTAGTTTTGACTGGTTCTCATATACTTTAAGCAAAAGGTAAAATATATTTTTTTAACTTGTCCGTTTAGCTCATAATTAATGAAAATGTTAAGGTTTATATTATACTTGTATTAAACCTTTGTCTTTATGACTTTTAACACAAATTCAATCAGTATCAGAAAATCAGGTAAGCCATCTCAGCATGTTTACCATTGTCTTCATTATTAGCCATGTTCATGTTCGGGAAAAAAAAGAGGCGGAAGATACCAAGAGGACATTCAAATCTCATTAATTGAACAGAAACTGTTATTAACTTAACAAAATAAATAAAAGAAGTGGGGTACATGTTAATGATACAGAAAACAAAAAAAACATAATTTGGAATTTTAGTTCAAAGAATATGTGCAAAAACTTGTTTCAAAACAGTTTTAAGTATTAAAATGCTTCAATCTCCAAAATGCATAACCAAATATATGAACTGCACAATGATCTGAATAAAGACAGTAATAAGTTTATTTATATTTCAGCACAAATCAGTCAGATTCTTGTGGAGTGGAAGGATAATGACCACATGTTTATACCAACAGAAGCTACCAGACATGTACTGAAATGTATAACAGAGAACAGTTGTGTAACTATTACTGCTAGTTCTGGTGTTGGTAAGACAGCAATACTCCGACATGTGGCATTACAAATGGCAAAGGAAGGGTACGATTTACTTCTAGTGACAGATCCAGGTGACATTGTTAAGTTTTATAATCCAAACCAGAAATCATTGTTTGTTATTGATGATTTATGTGGAAACTATTCTTTAAACCAGACCGACATAAAAGTTTGGGAACCAGTCATGGAGCGAATAAAAAATATCCTTTCAAATACACATGCTAAGATAATAGCAGCATGTCGATTACAAGTGTATCAGGATGACAAATTTGAATCTTTATCGATTTTCAAATCATGTGTGTGTAACCTTTTATCAGATAACATGTGCTTGACAAAAGCTGAAAAAGAGTCAATAGCTGAAGTTTATCTTAAAACAAAAGCACCTGAGGTTATAGATTATTATGATTTATATGATTGTTTCCCACTTTTATGTAAATTGTATCATGAAAATCCTGCACTTAATATCACAGATTTTTTCCAGAACCCATTTACAGTTTATAAAGAAGAGATTGACAAACTACAGAAAAAAGGATTTTCTTGTAAATACTGTGCTTTGGCTTTATGTGTCATATTTAACAACAAGTTAAATGAAGATATATTGACAGAGGAGGTGAAAGAAGAAACAAGAACCATCATTGAGAACACTTGTGAGGCATGTAAACTAGATAGAGGAATATCACGGCTTACATTACAAGATGAACTAAACTCACTTACACATACATTCCTGAAAAAGGAGGAAAACATATACAAAACTATTCATGATAAAATATTTGACTTTCTGGTGTACTACTTTGGACAGAAAATAATCAGCTGCTTGATAAAGAATGCACATAGTAGTTTGATCATGGAAAGATTTTTGTTACAAAAACAAAACAATGTTGATCAGTTTATAACAATTGTACCTCCTAAGTATCATAAAATGTACATACAAAGAATGATTGATGACTGGTCAAAGGGTAAAGTAAATGATGTGTTTTGTAACATAAATATGCGCATACCACAGTTCAGAAAAAAATTTCTCTGTTTTTTAAATGAACTGACTGTATCTTACCAGAGACAATTATCACTCACCTGTGATGTAAGTAATAATGATACTGCACTGTTACTGTCATGTTTTGATGGTGACATTCCTATGATTAATTGGTGTATTAATCATGGTGTTGATGTTAATCAGTGCAGAAATGATGAGTTATCACCATTAAATGTAGCTGCTCAGGAAGGTTGGGTGGAAATAGTAAGGATGTTGTTAAACATAGGAGCAGATTATAATAAATGTAACAATGATGGTTGGTCACCTGTAATGAGTGCTTGTAGAAATGGACAAACAGAAATAGTAAGGATGTTGTTAGACATAGGAGCAGATTATAATAAATGTGACAATGATGGTTGGTCACCTGTAATGAGTGCTTGTAGTGAGGGACATACAGAAATAGTAAGGATGTTGTTAGACATAGGAGCAGATTATAATAAATGTGACAATGATGGTTGGTCACCTGTAATGAGTGCTTGTAGTAAGGGACATACAGAAATAGTAAGGATGTTGTTAGACATAGGAGCAGATTATAATAAATGTCACAATGATGGTTGGTCACCTGTAATGAGTGCTTGTAGTAAGGGACATACAGACATAGTAAGGATGTTGTTAGACATAGGAGCAGATTATAATAAATGTGACAATGATGGTTGGTCACCTGTAATGAGTGCTTGTAGTGAGGGACATACAGAAATAGTAAGGATGTTGTTAGACATAGGAGCAGATTATAATAAATGTACCAATGATGGTTGGTCACCTGTAATGAGTGCTTGTAGAAATGGACATACAGAAATAGTAAGGATGTTGTTAGACATAGGAGCAGATTATAATAAATGTGACAATGATGGTTGGTCACCTGTAATGAGTGCTTGTAGTAAGGGACATACAGAAATAGTAAGGATGTTGTTAGACATAGGAGCAGATTATAATAAATGTCACAATGATGGTTGGTCACCTGTAATGAGTGCTTGTAGTGAGGGACATACAGAAATAGTAAGGATGTTGTTAGACATAGGAGCAGATTATAATAAATGTGACAATGATGGTTGGTCACCTGTAATGAGTGCTTGTAGTAAGGGACATACAGAAATAGTAAGGATGTTGTTAGACATAGGAGCAGATTATAATAAATGTCACAATGATGGTTGGTCACCTGTAATGAGTGCTTGTAGTAAGGGACATACAGACATAGTAAGGATGTTGTTAGACATAGGAGCAGATTATAATAAATGTAACAATGATGGTTGGTCACCTGTAATGAGTGCTTGTAGATATGGACATACAGAAATAGTAAGGATGTTGTTAGACATAGGAGCAGATTATAATAAATGTGACAATGATGGTTGGTCACCTGTAAAGATTGCTTGTTTTGATGGACATACAGACATAGTAAGGATGTTGTTAGACATAGGAGCAGATTATAATAAATGTCACAATGATGGTTGGTCACCTGTAATGAGTGCTTGTAGAAATGGACATACAGAAATATTAAGGATGTTGTTAGACATAGGAGCAGATTATAATAAATGTACCAATGATGGTTGGTCACCTGTAATGAGTGCTTGTAGAAATGGACAAACAGAAATAGTAAGGATGTTGTTAGACATAGGAGCAGATTATAATAAATGTAACAATGATGGTTGGTCACCTGTAAAGATTGCTTGTAGATATGGACATACAGGAATAGTAAGGATGTTGTTAGACATAGGAGCAGATTATAATAAATGTAACAATGATGGTTGGTCACCTGTAATGAGTGCTTGTAGAAATGGACAAACAGAAATAGTAAGGATGTTGTTAGACATAGGAGCAGATTATAATAAATGTAACAATGATGGTTGGTCACCTGTAAAGAGTGCTTGTAGTGAGGGACATACAGAAATAGTAAGGATGTTGTTAGACATAGGAGCAGATTATAATAAATGTAACAATGAAGGTTGGTCACCTGTAATGAGTGCTTGTAGTGAGGGACATACAGAAATAGTAAGGATGTTGTTAGACATAGGAGCAGATTATAATAAATGTAACAATGATGGTTGGTCACCTGTAATGAGTGCTTGTAGTAAGGGACATACAGAAATAGTAAGGATGTTGTTAGACATAGGAGCAGATTATAATAAATGTACCAATGATGGTTGGTCACCTGTAATGAGTGCTTGTAGAAATGGACATACAGAAATAGTAAGGATGTTGTTAGACATAGGAGCAGATTATAATAAATGTAACAATAATGGTTGGTCACCTGTAATGAGTGCTTGTAGTGAGGGACATACAGAAATAGTAAGGATGTTGTTAGACATAGGAGCAGATTATAATAAATGTAACAATGATGGTTGGTCACCTGTAATGAGTGCTTGTAGATATGGACATACAGAAATAGTAAGGATGTTGTTAGACATAGCAGCAGATTATAATAGATGTAACAATGATGGTTGGTCACCTGTAAAGATTGCTTGTAGTAAGGGACATACAGAAATAGTAAGGATGTTGTTAGACATAGGAGCAGATTATAATAAATGTCACAATGATGGTTGGTCACCTGTAATGAGTGCTTGTAATGAGGGACATACAGAAATAGTAAGGATGTTGTTAGACATAGGAGCAGATTATAATATATGTGACAATGATGGTTGGTCACCTGTAATGTATGCTTGTAATGAGGGACATACAGGAATAGTAAGGATGTTGTTAGACATAGGAGCAGATTATAATAATTGTAACAATGAAGGCAAGTCAACTGTCATAATTGCTTCTGAAAGAGGTCATAGTGATATAGTTAATGTGATAAATGAACATTCCAGGGACAAAACAGGTACATAACACTAGAAGTTTTATGTTTTTTTCCCAGATCATTCAATTTGAAGATTTAAAAATTTACTTTGGATAACCTTTATAACTCGTAAAAATTACTTAAACTGTCTTCATCAGGCCAAAGAAAGTCAGTTTTACTGGTTCATAGAAAAAATAAATTGGTACGAATACAATAACTTTAGTATAAGTGTATGGATCTGTATGAAACTTTAGCACAAGGTTCCATACCTCATAGCTGATTCGGAATTAGGGGTCAAAAAGGGCCTAACAAAAACAATTATTTGTCTGGTTCACAGCTGACAATAACTTGAGTAAAAGTGCATGGATCTCTATTTAATTTTAGCACAAGGTTCCATACCACAATAGGAAGGTTGGAATTTATTTTGGGGGTTATTGTCATAGCTGATTAGGAATTAGGGGTCAAAAAGGGCCTAACAAAAACAATTATATGTCTGGTTCACAGACAATAACTTGAGTATAAGTGCATGGATCTCTATTAAATTTTAGCATAAAGTTCCATACCACAATAGGAAGGTTTGGATTTATTTTGGGGGTTATTGTTGTAGCTGTTTGGTAAAAAGGGGCCAAAAACAAGCATTTTTCATGTTTCAGGACTATTATTTGTGTATTAGAGTATGGATCTCTATGAAATTTTACCACAAGGTTCCATACTTCATAAGGAAAGTTTTGATTTATTTTTGGGGGTCATGATCCAAACTGTTTAGTAATTAGGGGCCGAAAAGGGGCCAAAAACTAGGATTTTCTGGTTTCTGGACAATAGAGTATAAGTCTATTTATTGCTATTTAATTGTGCCACAAGGTGTTGCATCATAAAATAAAGTTTGGGATTGATTTTAGGGGTTATGACCTTAACGGTTAAGTTAAAAGGGGCCAAAAATAATTATTTGTAATACTTTGTATATAAATTGCTTATTTCTTTAGCAATTTCATTGGGGTTTAATTCAAAGTTTTGAATTCTTACATTGGGGTTCTTTAATATGCTGAATCTAATTGGGTATTTATAATTTCGATTTTGGGTCTGTTTTTGAATTGAACCATATTAAGATTCAAAGGGACCAAAATTAAAGTTTGTTTGATTTCTTCAAAAATTGAATTATTGGTGTTCTTTGATATGCTGAATCTAATCATGTATTTAGATTTTTAATTTTCGGGTATGTCTTCAAATTGGTCCACATTAAGGTCCAAAGGGTCCAAAATTAATCTTGTTTGCTTTTTTTTTAAATGAATGGTTGGGGTTCTTTAATGTGCTGAATTTAAGCATGTATTTAGATTTATGATTTTGGGCACAGTATTCAAGTTGGTCTAAATTGGGGTCCAAAGTTGAACTTTGTTTGATTTCATCAAGAATTTAATTGTTGGTGTTATTTAAAATGGTCAATCCAACAGTGTTTTAGATTTTAGATTTTGTGCTTGGTTTTCAAAGTTGGTACAAATTTTGGTCCAAAATTTAACTTTGAATGATTTCTTCAAAAATTGAATTATTGGTGTTCTTTAAATTTAGATTTTGGGCCCGTTTTTCAAACTGAAGGGTCCAAAGTATCTAAAATACTTAGTTTGAATTTAACAAAAATTGAATTCTTGTGGATATTTGATATGCTGAATCTAAGCATATAATTAGATTTTTGTTTTAAGGCACATTTTTTAAGTTGGTTTAAATTGAGGTCCAAAATTAAACTTTGTTTGATTTTTACCAAAAAATAATACATGGGGTTCTTTGATATGCTAAATTCAAGTGTATATTTAGATTTTGGATTTTGGGTCCTGTTATCAAATTGGTTAACATTGAGGTCCAAAAGGTCCAAAATAAAACTTTGTTGGATTTCTTCAAAAATTGAATTCTTGTGGTTCTTTGATATGTTGATTCCAACCATGTTTTTAGAATTTGGATATTGGACCATAATTGGTAAATGTCCAATTTTAAATTATTTAAGAACTTATACCACATTCATTCTGTGTCAGAAATTATGCTACAATAAATATTTAATCAGAATCTAACTTCAGAGATGTATTGCGCAATCAACAGAAATTTCAAGTTGAGTCATATTTGAAAATACAGCATCATATCTTATTTAAGAGAAGAAATTATGTATTGATAAAGTTTGAAATTTGCTGTTCATTATTAGATATTTTGAAAAATAATTAAGGTAAGTTTTATAGATTTTTTAAAGACTTTGTATTAATGAGGATTAATATTTTGGAATTGTTTTTTTCTTCATTTTTTTTTACAATACTTTTCTAATTACTTTGTAAAAATTGCTTATTTCTTGACCAACTTCAATGTGGTTTAAATTCAAAGTCTTGAATTCATGTGGTTTTTTGATATGCGGTATCTAACCGTGTATTTAGATATAAGATTTTGGGCTCCGTATATGAATCGGTACAAGGGTCTCAAATTAAACTGTGTTTGATTTCATCAAATATTGCATTATTGGTGTTCTTTGATAATGACGAATCTTAGCATGTATTCATGGTATTTAGATTTTAATTTTGGGGCCTTCTTTCAAATTGGTCCACGTTAAGGCCCAAAGGGTCCAAAATTATACTTAGATTGATTTTAAAAAAAATTGAATTCTAACTGTGTATTTTAAATTTTTTATTTTAGGACCAGTTTTCAAATTGGTCCACATAGTCCAAAATTAAAATTATTTTGATTTTATGAAAAAAATGAATTCAAGGGTTTTTTTGCTAAACTGAATCTAAGCATATATTTAGATTTTTGATTTCGAGCCAAGTTTTCATTTGGTCTAAATCGGGATCCAATATTAAACTTTGTTTGATTTCAACAAAAATTGAATATATGTGGTTCTTTGATATGCTGAATCTAACAATGAATTTCATTTTGGATTTTGGGCCCCTTTATCTAATTGGTCCACATTGATGTCCAAAGGGTCCAAAATTAAACTTTGTTTGAATTAAAAAAAATGAATTCTTGGGATTCTTTGATATGCTGAATCTAACCGTGTATTTAGATTTTGGAAATTGGGCCATGATAGGTAAAAGTCCAATTTAAAATTTTTCAATTTTTCGACCACATTCATTCTGTGTCTGAAACCTATTGCTATGTCAAATATATAATCACAATCAAAATCCAGAGCTGTATCAAGCTTGAATGTCCATACTTGCCCCAACTGTTCAGGGTTCGACCTCTGCGGTCGTATCAAGCTGCGCCCAGCGGAGCATTTCATTTATACTTGTATTGTTAAGTTTTAGAAAAGAACAAGTGGACATGAACTCTCTTGTAAAAGAAAACTCTTTATCTTATCAAAACCTTAAGAAATGTACTTCTATTGAATTATTGTTTTCCCGTTCTCTAATTCGAGAATTGCTTTTCCATATGCATTGACCTTAACGACAAGACCTCTCGTTAGAACTTCCACAACCACATAGTGCAAGGGAAAAACCATGACGAAAGAAATGTAAAAAAACATGCACTGGAAGTAGATAGCATTTATTGATTCTGAAAGAAAAATTAAATGCACCAAATCATTTAAAAACTGTTATGACAAAGTTTGATTAACAAATGGAAACGCATGAAAATTAAAAAAAAATTAACATTGCTCTATCAACTTTCTTATTTTTCAGGTGCTCCAATGATTCTGGTTGATTGTTTATTAAAGTCATGACTGGTAAACATAGGCAACAAAACAATTAGAAGCTAAATTTGTCAATTAACAATCACTGAATGATATATGATTATACGTTATGGATTTATAATAAAAACATAGAGGACTTAGTATAGTATATATGTGTGCATAGAGGACTTAGTATAGTATATATGTGTGCATAGAGGACTTACTATAGTATATATGTGTGCATTGTGTGCATAGAGGACTTAGTATAGTATATATGTGTGCATAGAAGACTTAGTGTAGTATATATGTGTGCATAAAGGAATTAGTATAGTATATATGTGTGCATAGAGGACTTAGTATAGTATATATGTGTGCATAGAGGACTTAGTATAGTATATATGTGTGCATAGAGGACTTAGTATAGTATATATGTGTGCATAGAGGACTTAGTATAGTTTATATGGACGCCTCCGGGTGCGGGAATTTCTCGCTGCATTGAAGACCTGTTGGTGACCTTCTGCTGTTGTCTGTTCTATGGTCGGGTTGTTGTCTCTTTGACACATTCCCCTTTTCCATTCTCAATTTTATTTATATGTGTGCATAAAGGAATTAGTATAGTATATATGTGTGCATAGAGGACTTAGTATAGTATATATGTGTGCATAGAGGACTTAGTATAGTATATATGTGTGCATAGAGGACTTAGTATAGTTTAAATGTGTGCATAGAGGACTTAGTATAGTATATATGTGTGCATAGAGGACTTAGTATAGTATATATGTGTGCATAGAGGACTTAGTATAGTATATATGTGTGCATAGAGGACTAAGTATAGTATATATGTGTGCATTGTGTGCATAAAGGACTTAGTATAGTATATATGTGTGCATAAAGGACTTAGTATAGTATATATGTGTGCATAGAGGACTTAGTATAGTATATATGTGTGCATAGAGGACTTAGTATAGTATATATGTGTGCATAGAGGACTTAGTATAGTATATATGTGTGCATAGAGGACTTAGTATAGTATATATGTGTGCATAGAGGACTTAGTATAGTATATATGTGTGCATAAAGGAATTAGTATAGTATATATGTGTGCATAGAAGACTTAGTATAGTATATGTGTGTGCATAGAGGACTTAGTATAGTATATATGTGTGCATAGAGGACTTAGTATAGTATATATGTGTGCATAGAGGACTAAGTATAGTATATATGTGTGCATTGTGTGCATAAAGGACTTAGTATAGTATATATGTGTGCATAGAGGACTTAGTATAGTATATATGTGTGCATAGAGGACTTAGTATAGTATATATGTGTGCATAGAGGACTTAGTATAGTATATATGTGTGCATAGAGGACTTAGTATAGTATATATGTGTGCATAGAGGACTTAGTATAGTATATATGTGTGCATAAAGGAATTAGTATAGTATATATGTGTGCATAGAAGACTTAGTATAGTATATATGTGTGCATTGTGTGCATAGAGGACTTAGTATAGTATATATGTGTGCATAGAGGACTTAGTATAGTATATATGTGTGCATAGAGGACTTAGTATAATAAATATGTGTGCATTAATTCAATAATTTCCTGAACATGCTTAATATTATAATTACAAGAGACTCGTTTCAGATAACTTTAAGTCCCTGCACTAATTTTCTAGAAATATAAAGTTGGAAAATTTACCAATTTTTATACAGTTTTTTTAGGGGAGAATCAATCTTTTGACAATGAAGAAAATCTGTTGAAATTCATTACCACTGACAAATGTTTGGGGACGGGGGAAATTATCATGATTATTCAAATGACTTGCATTTAGGTAAATAAAGATAAAAATTGGGTACTCAGTTTTGGTTATCTTTTCATAAAATATTGTAAAGTGTTGTTGATTTTTGTCGAGCCTTCGACTTTTGTCGAAAAAGTGAGACATAGCGATCCTACATTCCGTCGGCGTCGTCGTCGTCGTCGTTGTCGTCGGCGGCGTCCACAAATATTCACTCTGTGGTTAAAGTTTTTGAAATTTTAATAACTTTCATAAACTATCCTGGATTTCTACCAAACTTGGACAGAAGCTTGTTTATGATCATAAGATAATATTCAAAAGTAAATTTTGTAAAAAAAAAATTCCATTTTTTCCGTATTTTACTTATAAATGGACTTAGTTTTTCTGCCAGGAAACATGACATTCACTCTGTGGTTAAAGTTTTTGAAATTTTAATAACTTTCTTAAACTATCCTGGATTTCTACTAAATTTGGAAAGAAGCTTGTTTATGATCATAAGATAGTATCCAGAAGTAAATTTTGTAAAAAAAAAAATTCCATTTTTTCCGTATTTTACTTATAAATGGACTTAGTTTTTCTGCCAGTTAACATTACATTCACTCTGTGGTTAAAGTTTTTAAAATTTTAACAACTTTCTTAAACTATCCTGGATTTGTACCAAACTTGGAAAGAAGCTTGTTTATGATCATAAGATAGTATCCAGAAGTAAATCTTGTAAAAAAAAAATTCCATTTTTTCCGTATTTTACTTATAAATGGACTTAGTTTTTCTGCCAGTTAACATTACATTCACTCTGTGGTTAAAGTTTTTAAAATTTTAACAACTTTCTTAAACTATCCTGGATTTGTACCAAACTTCGACAGAAGCTTGTTTATGATTAAAAGCTAGTATCTAGAATGAAATTTTGTTAAAATTTTGTTCCATTTTTTCCGTATTTTACTTATAAATGGACTTAGTTTTTCTTCCAGTTAACATTACATACAGTCTGCAGTTTAAGTTTTTAAAACATTTATTAGATTCATAAACTATCCTGGATTTTTACCAAACTTGGACAGAAGCTACTTACAATCAAAAGATAGTATAGAGAGGAATATTTTTATTAATTTTTTTTCCTTATTTTTGTTGAGCCTGCGATTAACAGCAAAAGTAGGCGAGACACTGGGTTCCGCGGAACCCTTACGAATTTTTAGTATTATCATGATAACCAGTTTTGTTATTACACCCTAAATTTAACACTATTTATTTCAATAATGTTATAAGATATGTTTGAATAAAGCAAGAATCAGTGAGAAAAAGTATAGATAATGCAGCAAATTCTAATGCAATTATTTTGTATCAATGGTTCTGATTGGATGACAATAAGCGTAAAATTCTCTATCTCCCTGTCTGTAACTAAGGAAGCCGACATTTTGAATTCCGGAATGTATTGACATGTAATTTCTCCAATAATAAGCCAAAAAACTCACATTTTGCACCTAGAAATCTTCTTTTTATCAAATTTTATTACATTCTGAAGCGGAAAAGATGCCAGAAAACGCCCGGTGTTTACGTTTGATGCTGGAAGCATACTTATGACGTCACCTAGTTTAGGCGCCAAAGAAGATAACATCATTTCGCGGAATTTAAGTTTAATGAACATTTACACTATAATAATGACTAAAATTGAATGATTTGTTTATTTTGCATTAGAATAGAGATAACTGTTATGTATTTGAAGCTTTGCGGATGTCCATCAGTAGTTTTACTGTCGCAAATAACCGTTTACCTGTCTCTGCTACCCGTCGCCAGGTAGACTAAGTTTGCGACAGTAATACTACTGATGGACGTCTGCAAAGCTTCAAATACAATACAGTTATCTCTAAATTAACAGTGCCTGGTTATGATTCATAGCTTGACCTTCTTCAGAGGTAGAATGGTGGATTGATAGTGGCACTCTATTTATATAGTGTCTGAAAGTTATCTGTTACTGGATAATTATTGGTTATCCGTAACCGGATAATTATATGTTACTGTAAATTCAGAAATTATTGCGTGCATTTATTGTTGCGATTTATGAAGAATGGACAATAATGCGAGATTAGTTATTGCGATTTCAGGAAATTCTGCATACAGATGCATATATCAGATATCAGAATGCAAGTTCTAATTATTGCGATACTAACCCAGTCGCACTATTCGCATTAATAAAAACCTCACAATAATTTTTGAATTTACAGTATCTGGTTTTGGATAATTTTTATCTATTCAGTTAAACATCCGGTGGTATTTTCATTAGTTACTGTAAGCTTCTTTCAACTTTTCATCAGTTAAGGTAAACTGCTTTAAACTTTTCATCAGTTAAGGTCAACTTCTTTCTACTTTTCATCAGTTATGGTCAACTTCTTTCAACTTTTCATCAGTTAAGGTCAACTTCTTTCAACTTTTCATCAGTTAAGGTCAACTTCTTTCTACTTTTCATCAGTTAAGGTCAACTTCTTTCTACTTTTCATCAGTTATGGTCAACTTCTTTCAACTTTTCATCAGTTAAGGTCAACTTCTTTCAACTTTTCATCAGTTATGTTCAACTTCTTTCATTTTTTCATCAGTTATGGTCAACTTCTTTTCATCAGTTAAGGTCAACTTCTTTCAACTTTTCATCAGTTAAGGTCAACTTCTTTCTACTTTTCATCAGTTAAGGTCAACTTCTTTCTACTTTTCATCAGTTAAGGTCAACTTCTTTCTACTTTTCATCAGTGATGGTCAACTTCTTTCAACTTTTCATCAGTTAAGGTCAACTTCTTTCAACTTTTCATCAGTTAAGGTCAAATTCTTTCTACTTTTCATCAGTTATGGTCAACTTCTTTCAACTTTTCATCAGTTATGTTCAACTTCTTTCATTTTTTCATCAGTTATGGTCAACTTCTTTTCATCAGTTAAGGTCAACTTCTTTCAACTTTTCATCAGTTAAGGTCAACTTCATTCAACTTTTCATCAGTTAAGGTCAACTTCTTTCTACTTTTCATCAGTTAAGGTCAACTTCTTTCTACTTTTCATCAGTTAAGGTCAACTTCTTTCTACTTTTCATCAGTTATGGTCAACTTCTTTCAACTTTTCATCAGTTAAGGTCAACTTCTTTCTACTTTTCATCAGTTAAGGTCAACTTCTTTCTACTTTTCATCAGTTAAGGTCAACTTCTTTCTACTTTTCATCAGTTATGGTCAACTTCTTTCAACTTTAAGAAACATAATATAAGCCAGGAGCTCCTATCACAAAAAATCTTTAGAGTAAAAATACTCGTAAGTCATTCACATTTCAGTTTAACTTGCGATCAATTTTTATCGTAAGATTTTTTGTGGAAAGAGTCACAGTTTTTATACGACCGCAAAAAATTTTTTGGGATCGTATAATGGTATAATGTCGTCGTCCGAAGACACATTGGTTTCCGGACAATAACTTTAGTTTAAGTGAATGGATCTCTATGAAATTTTTTAAGAAGGTTCAATACCACAAAATGAAAGTTGGGATTGATTTTGGGGATGATGGTCCCAACTGTTTAGGAATTAGGGGCCCAAAACAAGCATTTTTCTAGTTTAAGGATAATAACTTGTGTATAAGTGTTCCGATTGCTCTGAAATTGTACGACAATGTTTAATACCGGAAGTAGAAGGTTGGGATTTATTTTAGTGGTTATGGGGCCAACAGTTTAGGAATTAAGGGCCAAAAACAAGCATTTTTCTATTTTCTAGACAATAACTTGTGTGTAAGTGTATGGATCTCTCTGACATTGTACCACAAGGTTCCATATCACAAAGGGAAGGCTAGGATTGAGTTTGGGGTTAATTGCGCAAATATGTAGGAATAAGGGGCAAAAAAAGGGCCAAAAACAAGCATTTTTCTAGTTTCCAGAAAATAACTTGTGTTTAAGTCTATGGATCTCTCTGAAATTGTACTACAAGGTTCCATACTACAAAGGAAAGGCTGGGATCGAGTTTTTTTTTTGGGGAGGGGGGGGGGGGGTCAATTCGCAACAGCATAGTGTATTGCACAAAGGCAAAAAAATGAATATAAATTCAAATCATATAACCAATTCTAAGTTCTTTGACTACAGTTATTCTGTGTCAGAAACCTATTATGTGTCAAATATTTAATTACAATCCAAATTCAGACCTGTTTCAAGCGCGAATATTGTGTCCATTTTTGCCCCAACTGTTCAGGGTTGGACCTCTGCGGTCGTATCCAGCTGCGCTCGGCGAAGCAATTTATTGTTAGGTGTTTTTCTGCTTTATATAGATCTGATGAGGTAAGCCCTTTTCATCTGATTATTATAGACTATTAGTTTGTTCTTATGTTGTACTTTTACACCACTATCCAAGGTTTTGGGGACGGTTTAATTTGGTGCCAACAAACAAGTTAAATCAAGCCATATTCAGTATGTGCCTGTCCCATGCCCGGAGTCTGTAATTCAGTGGTTGTTGTTTGTTGCTGTATATCATATTTGTTTTTATACGACCGCAAAAAATATTTTGCGTCTTACAATGCTATGATGTTGTCGTCCGAAGACACATTTGGTTTCCGGACAATAACTTAAGTTGAAGTGAATGGATCTCTAAGAAATTTTACCAGAAGGTTCAATACCACAAAAGGAAGGTTGGGATTGATTTTGGGGGTTATGGTACCAACAGTTTAGGAATGAGGGGCCAAAAAGAAGCATTTTTGTAGTTTCCGGACAATAACTTGTGTGTAAGTGTATGGATATCTCTGAAATTGTACCACAAGGTTCCATATCACAAAGGGAAGGCTGGGATTGAGTTTGGGGGTAATTACCCCAAATGTTCAGGAATTAGGGCAAAAAAGGGGCCAAAAACAAGCATTTTTCTAGTTTCCAGATAATAACTTGTGTTTAAGTGTATGGATCTCTCTAAAATTGTACTACAAGGTTCCATACCATAAAGGAAAGGCTGGGATTGAGTTTGGGGGTAATTACTCCAAAGGGGGGGGGGATTCAAAAATTTTGGGGGGATTTTTTTTTTCCAATTTTTTTTGGGGTTCATATTTTTTTTCTTGAAAATTTTTGAAATTTCAAATAATTGCACAGTATTGCGCAATAGCAAGAAATCTTCAATTGCACAGTATTGCACAATAGCACAGTATTGCACAATAGCAAGAAATCTTCAATTGCGCAATAGCACAGTATTGCACAACAACACAGTATTGCACAATAGCAAGTAATCTTCAATTGCACAGTATTGCACAATAGCAAGAAATCTTCAATTGCACAGTATTGCACAATAGCAAGAAATCTTCAATTGAAAATAAATACAAATTTTTTTACCAATTTCAATGGGATTAATTTAAAGTCTTTAATTTTTGGGGGTTCTAACCTTGTATTATTTTTTTGGATATTGGGCCCCATTTTTAAATTGGTCTACATTGAGGTCAAGAGGGTCCAAAAATTAAACTTTGTTTGATTTCATCAAAAACTGAATTATTGCGGCTGTATGATTTGCTGAATCTTATTGTGCATTTAGAATTTTTATTTTGGGTCCTGTTTTTAAATTAGTCCATATTAAAGTTTGAAGGGTCCAAAATTAAACTTTGTTTGATTTCAACTAAAATTAAATTTTTGGTTTTTTTTTATATGCTGAATCTAACCATGTTGTTAGATTTTAGATATCAGACCATTCTAGGTAAAAAAATGACCCATTTCAAATTTTTAAGATCTTTGACCACATTTATTTTGTGTCAGAAACCTATATTATGTCAAAAATTTGATCACAATCCAAATTCAGACAGTCAATGACAGTATCAAGCTTAACATAAGTTAGTTTGATAGGAACTACATGTTATAGATCAATGATATTTTCTATCAAGTTGCATTACTATCAGTACATATCAGTTTGACGACTATATCGAGGCCCTGTCCCCTAGGTCATGGTCCAGTGACTTTCAATTAATTACCAATTTTCAATGTTAAGTTTTCTGATTAAGTTAGTTTTATAGAAACTACTTATGATAGACATTGATATTTTCTATAAACTATAGTCAGTACATCTCAGTTTGTTGACCATTTAGAGGCCCTGTCCCCTAGGTCATTGTTCTGCAACTTTGAATTGATTAGCAACGTTGCTGTCCATCAGATTGTCTTTTTTCTGAATTTTGGTACAACTTGAATATGTTCATAATATATTTTTAGGATTTGACAATTGATAACCCAGACCTATGTACAAAGAATTTACTGATAGTTTTGACGTTTGTTTACCACATAAGTATTTAGTTATACCTTGACAAATGTTTACAATAGAGTTGTTTACTTTTTTTTTTAATTATTTACCACAAAATTATTTACTTATAATTTGACAATTGTTTACAACAGAGTTGTTTACTTATAATTTAAACAACTGTTTACCACAGAAATATTTACTGATAATTTGACAATTTTTTACCAGATAGTTATAATTCTTTACTTAACTTTTACAATATGCTTACCACAGAATTGTTGACTTATAATTTGACAATTGTTTACCACAAAGTTATTACTTATAATCTTTCAATTGTTTAAATTACCACAGAAGTAATTATTTATACTTAGACAAATCCAATGTTTACCGCATAATTATTGACTTATACTTATGTATCGGAAAAGTCTAGAAAATCAGTCCCAATCAATTATTTTTAAAAGAGTTATGCCCTTGGAAATTTTACTTATATGGAAAATTGCATTGTCAGGGCTCTCATGTGTACAATTCTTGCCAGATTTTTATCAAATTTATATCAAAGGTTTATATCAACAGTCTCCGACAAGTTCGAAAATCCATGCTGATCAAATATTATTAAAAGAGTTATGCCCCTTGCAAATATTAATTATATCGGAAATTGCATTGTATTTGCAATTAACAATGTTTAGCAAATAATTATTTACTTAAACTTAAACAATGTTTACAACAGAATTATTACTTATGATATGACAATTGTTTACCACAGAATTATAAACTTATGATATGACCATTGTTTACCACAGAATTGTAAACTTATGATTTGACCATTGTTTACCACAGAATTATAAACTTATGATTTGACCATGGTTTACCACAGAATTATAAACTTATGATTTGACCATTGTTTACCACAGAATTATAAACTTATGATTTGACCATTGTTTACCACAGAATTATAAACTTATGATTTGACCATTGTTTACCACAGAATTATGAACTTATGATTTGACCATTGTTTACCACAGAATTATAAACCTATTATTTGACCATTGCATTGTTTACCACATTATTATTGACTTATACATTACAATGTTTACCACATTTAATTATTAACTTTATTACAATGGTTTACTACAGAATCGTTAATTTATAATTTGACAATTGTTTGTCACAGAATTATTTTCTTAAATTTGACAATTGCTTACCACATAGTTCTTTACTTATAATTTGACAATTGTTTACTACAGAATTATTTACTTATAATTTGACAATTGTTTACCACAGAATAATTTACTTATAATTTGACAATTGTTTGTCACGATTTATTTCCTTAAATTTGACAATTGTTTGTCACAGAATTATTTACTTATAATTTGACAATTGTTGATCACAGAGTTCTTTACTTATAATTTGACAATTGTTGATCACAGAGTTCTTTACTTATAATTTGACAATTGTTTACCACAGCATTATTTACTTATAATTTGACAATTGTTTACCACAGAATAATTTACTTATAATTTGACAATTGTTTGTCACGATTTATTTCCTTAAATTTGACAATTGTTTGTCACAGAATTATTTACTTATAATTTGACAATTGTTGATCACAGAGTTCTTTACTTATAATTTGACAATTGTTGATCACAGAGTTCTTTACTTATAATTTGACAATTGTTTACCACAGCATTATTTACTTATAATTTGACAATTGTTTACCACAGCATTATTTACTTATAATTTGACATTTCAATGCCACAGAACTATTTACTTATACTTTGACATTTGTTTACCACAGAATATGCAGGATTTGACAATTGTTAACCACATAAGTGTTGACTTATACTTTAACAATTGTTAACCACAGACTTATTGACTTATACTTTGGCCATTGTTTACCACAGAGTTGTTTACTAATACTTTGAACATTGTTTACAACATAATTGTTTACTTATACTTTGACATTTGTTTACCACATAATTATTGACTTAATCTTTGGAAATTATTTACTGCATGATTGTTGACTTACGTATACTTTAACAATGTTTAGCACATATTGGTGTACTGATATTTTGACTTACATCCCAGCTCCTTTGTTCTACAAGGGTGATCTGAGCCGGATCACCCCTACCAGATCACCATAGCTTACGTTTCTTTGTTCTGCATGCTTTCCTTTGTTCTGTAACATTTTGGCGGGAATGTCAAATCCACAATAAAACTTAGAAATATTCACACGGAAAAGACTAACTATCAAAATGTATGTAGAAAAAATACAGTGTCTATGCTGGGAATCGAACTCAAGACCTTTAGCATATAGACCGACGATTCATACCGCTACACCAGGACGACTGGATGAAAACTCTCAGTTAATTTAGCATATTTAAACATTGTGTCCGGGGCTCATTAAGGGTATATACTATATAGTAATATATAAATAAAATTGAGAATGGAAATGGGGAATGTGTCAAAGAGACAACAACCCGACCATAGAGCAGACAACAGCCGAAGGCCACCAATGGGTCTTCAATGCAGCGAGAAACTCCCGCATAAACAAATATGTATACTAGTTCAGTGATAATGGACGTCATACTAAACTCCAAATTATACACAAGAAACTAAAATTAAAAATGATACAAGACTAACAAAGGCCAGAGGCTCCTGACTTGGGACAGGCGCAAAAATGCGGCGGGGTTAAACATGTTTTTTGAGATCTCAACCCTCCCCCTATACCTCTAGCCAATGTAGAAAAAACAAACGTACAACAGTACGCACAGTAAAACTCAGTTTAAGAGAAGTCCGAGTCCGATGTCAGAATAGGAAACAAAAGAAAATAAACAAAATGACAATAATACATAAATAACAACAGACTACTAGCAGTTACTGACATGCCAGCTCCAGACCTCAATTAAACTGATTGAAAGATTATGTCTTCATCATATGAATATCAGGCACAATCCCTCCTGTTAGGGGTTTAGTATTATACCGTCATAAAATATATGAGAAGAACATAACCCGTGTCATGCCAACAACTGGTTTTAGAATAAATATGTTTAATTCCGATGCAAAGACCCTATAAGTGAATCAATATTAAAGCCAAAATATGCAATTTTTAATGACCTGACAACAGTATCGTAACTATATCCCTTCTTAATAAGTCTGTTTAAAGGTTTTGTTAGCTTTTGCGGTGAATACTGACATTTTTGTGCTTTGTAAAGAATATTACCATAAAAGATTGGATGTGAAATACCCGAACGTATAAGATGTCTGCATGTTGAGATATATTTACGAATGATGTCCTTATACCGATGATAAAATTTAGTAAATGTTTTGACTAGTTTATGATATCGAAAACCCTGGTGTAATAATTTTTCAGTAATATATAAATTTCTCTCGCTAAAATCTAATACGTTGTTACATACACGAGCGAATCGTACAAGTTGAGATATATAAACACCATAAGATGGTGACAAGGGAACATCACCATCTAAAAATGGATAATTAACGATAGGAAATGAAAAATCATCTCTTTTGTCATAAATTTTTGTATTAAGCTTCCCGTTAATGATATAGATATCAAGATCGAGGAAAGGACAGTGGTCATTGTTATTATTAGCTTTATTTAAAGTAAGTTCAACAGGATAAATTTCTTTAGTATACATGTAACACTCCCAAACGTGTCCATCCCCCCAAACGTGTCCGATTCCCCCAAACGTGTCCATTCTCCCCAAACGTGTCCATTCTCCCCAAACGTGTC